ACCCCTGCTGACTCATCGCTTGACCCGAAGTAAATATTTGTAGTTTGTCCGTAATTCATCGTCAGTACTCAAGAAGCCAGATCAAGTAGTAACAAGGTTGGTTTGTTTTGTTTTTTTGAAAACGCGAAAATAATTTATGTAGTTTGGCCCCAAAGCCTTACGTTGATACCTTTGTTGATTGGCTTACTCCCACATTTCCGTTCCTTACATTTCTCAGGCGTCCTCACCCTTTCTGATGAGAAACGGCTAATCAAGCGTTTGTTGAAAAATTATGAAGATGCTGGGATCACGGGACGCCCGGTGATTAACACGGAAGAGGTCGTGAAAATCAACATGTCTTTGTCGCTCATTCAAATACTCGATCTTGATGAGAAGAATCAAGTGCTGACAATTAGTGTTTGGCTACTTTTTGTAAGTTTAATCCTGGACCAAGTCCAATTTTATGCCAGTTCTTTCCCAAGCAAACGGTTGTAACAGCAGCGCTTTTTAGCTCCTGCCAGAAGGTTGATTTATCAACCAAAGACTTATGTTTTTTAGGAATCTTGAGTACAAATAATTTAAAAGAAGAGATAAGGACGGAGGAAGAGCCAATGATTTCCTACATAGACGGTTACTGTATCAACATTTCAGCAGGTTTTCTGTGTTCTGGCGTGTTCTTGATACCCAAGGAATATTGGCAACCCATGCGCAAAATCTGTGCAAGTGATTACTGATGCTTATCATCTGCGTGCACACGCTTTGTACGATCCTCTGTTTCCCTGTGCTAGTCATTCCACTTGCCAGTATAATCAGATGAATGCCTGAGGCACATTGAGTAGTCATACAAATCTTCCCCCAAGCACTGTACCTGTAAAATTCTCATTCAGCACTGTGCACAGTGGCATCGACATGAGTAGCATAATTTTGGGAATTTCGTATTCTACCCTGAAACGGAATTGTTGAACCGCATTCATCTCGTAAATGATAGACGTCGGAAACCTCTACACTGAATGAGCACTAGAATAAGAGAAGCCGTTTTCATATTCCATGGATTATGGAGCGCATTGACCAGTAATACACGCATCTGCATTCCATTTTGTCACCAACAATGTCTGCATTGTCCGTGTGAAACTAATGGTGTGGGCGTGTGTTACAACTCATGTCAATCTGTGATCAGAATTGACGTTTTGCTGAGGGAAAAATACGATCGGTGGATATATCGGTGGGTCATATCTGCAGCTTCCCTCCAATGATCGATCAACAAATCAAAATATTTTCTTGGTGTTACACTCCGGGGTTTTTGTTGGAATATTTTTTTGAACGCGCCAAAAAATAATTGGTTACACTCTCAGCAACGTAATATCTCAAGAAAGGTATGTTGTAGTGTTGCGGGGATCGTTGCACGTTTTGTAATATTGACTGCAGTTTTAACTCCATCCCATAAATAAAAGGATTGGGTCGCCTTACTTATTTGGGCCGCCTTACTTATTTTGGCCGCTAATCTGGACCCCTGTTGTTGTAGTGTTCTGAAAAGGGTTGTCTTTGATATCGGCATCCAAGCCTGAGCGGAAAACTGAGTCTCCTCCTGTGCAACAATAAAATTGTTCCTGGGCGCTAATAACAACAACCTCAAGACTGTGGAGTTCAATCCCTGGCGATCTAGAAATGTGTAGAGTTAAACGTCTCCATGTTCTGAATCCAAATCACATTACTGGATTTTTGAAATACTGCCATTTGAAAAAGGACTAATCTTTGATATAAAACGCAAGTCGATTCAGACACCGCATAACTGTTGGGGCTCCCAAATGGACAAAACAAACCACAGCTTTCCACTTCCGTGGTGCAAACACGTGCACAATTCTCTTGATGACCAGTACACTGCAGCGCCATTTCCTCACACATCACTGTGGTGAGCTGTATGTCGGCTCGGTGGTGTGCGTTGCGATCGTCCCTTTCGAGACCAGTCTATTGATTGTGACCGGCGATACGATAGCATGGAAACACGACAGAGCAGGTCAGAGCGCACCCAAACGATGGAACACAAACGCGGATGGATAATTAGGTCGATGTCATGTGCACACATGTCATGAAAGCAGGTTGGGCGGAGCGGCCTTCGTGACTAAGTGAATGACAGGTGAGGACGCCATTACAGAAAAACGGATGATGGTCGATGAGCGCGCCAGCGCAGGAAACAAATGAATGAGGATTATTAACAAGACGTCAAGTTAGGCTGAGTAAGGCGTCTATCCTTGAGAAGATAAAACAACACGATTAAACAGCACAGGAAAACCTTACAGGGAGAAATACTGGTCAGAGTGGTCACTCATCCGGCCCTCTTAACAGTCGTTTTCTTTACGACTTAGTTTTGGCCAGCAGGAAACATAGTACGGTTATGTTCATTTGCATAGCAATATGGTGTCCACGGGTGACTCAAGTGAATCTCTCGTTCATGATATTTTTCAATCGAATGTGCTGCAAAAAGAACTGATGTTTCAGTTGGTACGACATTCGAGATATCTTAGTGTATTTTCACAAAGGATGCTGCTACAAAGGCTGCTGAGAACTCTTCGACAGCCCAACTAAAACACATCATAGACGGAAACTCAGGGAATGCGCCTACTTGGTGAGTCAGCCGTATGCCGTCGGAGAGTTTCCAACAACCTTATGAACCTTTATGAAAACACTGGTTATTCTTGGGACCACATATAACCATTAGTAGTCGTTTAAAGGAACCACTAAAGCAACATTCAAAACGTAAAAAAGTATTCCATTATGCTAGTGAACCTACATTCATGAACTCATACCTAGTTCAATGCCTATCCTGCATTTCGCCGTGGTTTCCACATGATTTTTGCAAATCTAGGCTAATGGTGAAAGCCGTCTACCTCTGGAGTCCCATTAAATAACCTTGCTTATACGCAACTGATGAAATAAAACCTGTTGCTTTGTTGTTAAGCTGCGCAGTCAGAATAAATTTGCAAAACCATCGGGCAGTTTCTTTTTGCTCAGTTATCCGAAGGTTCTGACTTACTTCCCAAACAAAGTAAGATTATGAGATGTGTCACGTACTGGCTGCAAGATTAGTCAACGTGGCTTGTGAAGACTATTCTAAGCGTGCTTGAACTTACTGTAAACTTTTTGTAGGAGATATGATCAGTTTTCATCAGTAGCCCAACTCAACAACTGAAGGTCATGTTCAGAGCTGTTCTCACTGAGCGATCTATTGTCTTATATGTAACCAAAGCGTGAACCATTCTTTTTTGGGCATCCCACCTCTGTTATTTCCCAGCATTAAAAAGCAACCATAATTATCACATTGACTTTCAAACATCAGAACATATAATTATGCACAAAGTCCACATGGCACTGTGCCAGAACGTTGATAACTAAGGAACGAAATCCTTAGGTTTTTCGGATAAACTATGGTTGGCTGGAATCCGAAACTTGTTTCTTGTATCCACTGGATGCAGGTGCACAGCAGGTGAACTACAACCCGTTCTTGTGGGGTCGATCGTTGTTTTATCAAGAAACCACTTTTGACTATGTAAACCCGATCAAAATAGACTCGGTGGGCAAAGATGCATGTTTTGCTGAGGGCGTCGGTTGGCCTATTCATGATGACATAATGATGATTATCAGAACTGGTTCCTTGTCGCTAGCAGATTGGCTTTTGTTGGGCACGGTACTTCCCTCAGACAAATCGCTATAAACAAACCCACTGGATTGTGCCCGGACCATGGATGACCGGATGACAAGTCTGTAGTAGGTACTGTCACTCAGTAATGTTATTGTAATGTTGGTTGGAAACAGACGCAATTTGCTGGGGAGAAAATAAGTAGCACTTCCGTAATGGGTTATAGTAGATAGTAAGGCTGCAATAAAGTGGTGAAAGTCTTCCTAATGAGCGCGTTTTACACCTTCATCTTCAGTGGTTGTTTATTTAATGTAAGTTGCTTCAGTCCCGTAACCTATGTTTCGTTTCTAATGTTATCGATCATCTACTAGCCTATTGTATTTTTTGTCAGCAATAGCTTTAACTTTAAAATCATGGATTTTCTTATGACCTTAGCACACGGTGTCTTATTGAACTCACAGCTGAGGCCCACCGTTTAAATTCGTACTTTCAATAAATGAATAGGTAATGATCTCACTACCAGCTTTCTGCTGTATATATTCTGTGTTATTCTTTGCACTGGAAACAGCCATCTACTTGAAACAGTAGACTGTGGCTTCCATTAAAGCCCATCCGAACGGGTCAGAGTCAAGTACGTTCATCTTGTTACATTGTCACACAAGAAACACTAAGGTGGGACCAGGTAGTTGGTTAAAAAAAAGGTCTTTTTGGATAATTCTATGTTCTTATTTGTTTGTATAACCAACCATCCAACTTTAACTCCAATTCCTGTTTGCACTAGCACCGTTGATTCAATCTTGGGAGGATGACACTTACAATCCGATTTCTGTCCGTCTAAGCAGTCAGTCCCATTGCAGCTATGATGTTACGACAGACTCTTAACGCAATCAAGCTTAGGACTGCATCCTCTTCTCAGGTCTCTCTTAGGGGGCAAAGTACTGCTATAATATTTTGATTTGAAGCGAAGCTTATAATTCACTATTTCCTCCCTTATCTTCGATGGACAGTGCCAAACTTGAAGTGTCTTCGACTCAGGTAAGATGTTGGTTCTTGCAAAGCACATAAAATCTTAAAGCCATTCTTAAGTTAGTAGGTTTCACAAACCCAAAAATCAGAACACCTTCGAAAAACAGCATGCTTGATAAATTACCAAGTTTTTTAGTGTTTACGATGACGGCAGTGGAAAGGTCAATATTTGACGGTGGTTCGGGAAACACTCGGCAGTTCAGAAGGAATGTAACGCACACCATTTGCACATTTTGGGCTCGTTGTTTCGTTACGAATTCGACCAATTTTATTTTTGTTTTATATCAGCCTATTATGTATCATCTGAATTTCACTATTGTTATTTTCCCGCATGGACTAAAAAGAACTGGAATGATCATATTCTCACATGGGATCCAAACAACTACTCACAAGTGGTCGAAGTTCGAGTGCCTGCCAAACAAATATGGACACCAGACATTGTGCTTTATAATTAGTAAGTCTGCACCTATTTATTTGAAGCACATTTTTTTCACCATGACGTTCCACTGACTAACACTGAACCACTATTCCACTGACGAACAGCATGTGGTAGTCGGTGATGTGATTGCTTTTGGCCTGAAAACAATTGCTATCAATGAAGGTAAGGCCAGGATGTAATTAATTTGCTTATCACTGGCATCTAACTTCTATCAATGGTTCTACCCTCAGGCTGTTGGAAAGCACGCTTTATAGGTCTGCCTTTTCTGTGCTCTGTTATTGTTAGGACTTGCCATATCGGTATTTTTCGATCCAACTAACTTCAGTCTGCAGTAATCACTTGAGTGGTGCATTCTTCTAACCATATGGCCTTAATCCATCCTCATGGAGAGCTTCGTTTTTCATTCAGGTGATCGTAGAAGAACGAAAGTGATTTTCATTTTCGTCCACCCAGGGCAGTTCAAAGACTAGTAAGCACAACATGAACTGACCAGATCCTTAGCTGGTATACTAATACCGCTCACAGGGAAGTCGAGCACCTTCATTAGAAATTCGTACGACTTTGCCAGCAAGGTCGCAGGGCTTCCTTTGGAGATGGACGAAGTCCTCCCGAGTTTTGACGTGATCTCAGTGTACACAAACATCCCTAGGGCAGATGCTCTGGAGGTAACCAAGGGGTTGTTACTGTCAGACACGACACTCGGGGAACGGACACAGCTCTTCAAGGTCTTGAATGTGATCTCCAATATCCCCAGTTTTAGCTAATATTTGCATGGAGGACTTCGAACAAATAGCCTTGGCCGGATATCATTGTCCATCCAAAGTTTTTGGCGTTATGTTGACGACACGTTTGCTGTAATCAAATGAGGTAACGTGAACGGCTTCCACGACTATCTCAACAGCTTAAATCCACACATAAAGTTTAGCATGGAAATAGGGTCCACCTCGGGCACATTAGACTTTCTGGACTGTATAACACATAAGATTGGTGGGAAATTGAAAACGACTATCTACCAGAAACCAACAGACACAAGAACCGTCTTAAGTTATTCATCAACACACCCAAAGTCCGTGTACGCCAGTATTGTCTCAACGATGTTTCGTCGAGTCAGAGCGCTGTGCACAGAAGAGATCGGCCGAACGGTAGCTCAAATCGAGATTGCAAAATGACTCCAAGAAATAAGACATCCAGTGAGCTTGATTATGCGTCAACTAGGAAATGTATTGGCTCCAGTATCTAGACCCAGTAAGGAATAGATTTGCACAGCAGTCATTCCATATAGAGCAGGAACATCGGAGGTTATTCGGAGACTGTTGAACTTAGCCAACATTCGAGTAGCTTTTCAGAAGTGAAAAACGCTACGCTCAGTTTTGGTGCAATTGGAATATCCCCTGCCGGCTGAAAGGACTAGGGACTGCGTGTATAGAAGTAACTGCAACGATTGCGCTAAGGTTTACATAGGACAAACTGCCAGGGTATTGCACACCAGAATTGGTGAGCATAATAGAAGTATTATCAAACCACCAAGGAATGCAGAAGAATACCAAGCGCTGGTCGAAGACTTAGCGATGGTGGTACATGCCTTAGACATGGGACGTAGAACAGATCTGGAGAATGTGGAAGTTTTAAGCTGGGGACTGAGATTCACACCACAGCGGCTGATAGCCGAGGCGGTGGAAATTACTAAGCATCACAGCGTGAATAGAATCAAGGGTGTGGAACTGGCGAGCGTATGGAAAGCGATCTTAGATAAGCCGAGTTGACATGTGACAGTATGGTTGTCACTCCACGTAGGAGTAGAGAAAACCGGGGGGTGGGGTGGGAAGTTCAACCCGACCAAAGGTCGCAGCATCCCTCTTACACAACTAGCTTACCACTAGCTTACCCACATAGACGGACGGAGGGTTCAAACGACGTTCAAGGGGGATCATCAAATAAACCGAACCGGAAGAACTAGACCCTAGGTTGGACCCAAACACATGTAGGTTCACCCACGGACTCAACACTTGTTCAACCACACTAACACTGAAATCTCTCGGCCGACACCCAACAGAGATTGAGCTTGACTTAGCTGATTGGTTCTCCTTCCGCCTTAAATCTCCAACAACCTCGGAACCTAGTCACTTGGCCTGACGAAGCTTTTGTGTCAAAAGCGAAACGTTGCCCAGCAATAAATCTACCGATTATCACCAAACTTTTCCGAAAACGATGACTAGAAGCTTGGTCGTGCACAGATGTGCACACTTTAGGTTTATCCAGATACTTCTAAAATATTGAGGTGCTTCATTTCAACCATAATTATTACTAAAAAATTGAAGTATACTACTACCAATATTATCATTTATTTTTGAAGAGCATGGTCACAAACATAAAAAGTGAGTGCAAGCGATGAATGCGAAAGAGTGACAGGAGAATATGGGAGAAAAGAGAGAAACGTCTCATTCGAAATCATGCCAGGGACAGTATCAGTCTGGTGAGGTGAATCCCAAAGTATGTAAAGATTTTGGAATGAGAACATGCGTCCAAGGACCAACAACCAAAGAAAGGACAAACAATGGTGAATGCTCTTCAAGGCGCAGTGTGCGCTAGCACAGTCAAGACTCGCACATCAGGCACAAAGTGACCGTCATACTGGGTCTGGTTTGAGATTAAATGGCAAAAATGTACCTTCAACGCCATGTGCCACGCATAA